AATAAAACTGGGAAATTGAACAGCAGACACCAATCTTATCCAAAGGAATATTGACAACTGAATACCGCTAGATGAGGAGCAGCTGACCCTCCTAAAACAAAGACCTCTAGATAGGCTGACTAGATTCACCAGAAGGACAACTGGTGGGGAATGGCTGGGGTGCCGACAACACAGCAGACAATAGCAGGGATATCAGAGTATAAGGGCTCTAGTGGGAGGAGGGAAGCTATGGGAGGGTGCTACCTGGGAAGTGGGTGTATAAAGAAAAAAAAAATTCTTCAAAGCATAAAAATTTGCTCCTTAATAATTAGTAGATGTGAAAAATATTACCATTGAAATCTACCTGATGACTTATACCCATGCTCACATGCCAAGGAGCTCAGAAAGTAAAAGACTGTGACTAGTAATAATCAGATACAGAGCGATTAGAAATGCATCTGCATCTTAGTGTCAATTGTATTAAAAATGAGTTTTTCTGTATGAAACTGTATTTTAATAATGAACTGGAGATCTTTTTTGAAGTTTAAAACCTCATTTAATTTTATGTCTCATAGGGTTTAGACAGAGTACAATATGGTATAACTGTATTAATTCAACTGTAAACCCAAAAATTTACAGCCAATTTTGAAAGAGATGCATCTTAGCTCTGGAAATTGTTATTGAATATGCTGTTGTAATGAAATGCTTCTTCTAATTATATGGTTATTAAATAAATATTTTTTAAAAATCCATATATATTCTATAAATTTATAGTCATTTAGATCCAATATACCTTGAACACTTTCTCCTGAAATGGAGAATTATACCTGCAATAATGATGGAAGAACACACATTCAAAACACCCCACTAAGTTGCACCTGAAATATGCCATTTTCATTTGGAGAGGCAGCCCCCAAATTAAGAAAAATTCTGCCAGTGACCTCATTTTAACAGAGAAATAAGACCACTCCGGTGTTAGAAGCAGCAGTAACATTTACTTTAAAAAATTAAAGACATGTTTCATTTTGTAAGTAGAAATATGAATTTTCTTACATAAATCACCTGTAACTGAGTATACCTGAAATTACATGTGTGTATATAGCCTCCAAATGGAAAACATACCATTGTTTACCAATTTAGAATAAACTGTGATAGTTCTATTAATGAATGACCAAACTAAAACCACATTCAAGATGGACAAATTTCACAGACATAAGGTTGTGTGACAAAGATGCTGTGCAATTACATTTACATAAATTTAAAAGGGAGCAAAATGGATTTGCAGTAATAAAATCCAAGACAGTGGGTAACCTTCAGAGAAGAGCCACTAGAGGATGGAAATGGGAATTAGGGCTTCTGAAGGGCTGGTGATACTATATTTCCTGCTTTTGGTACTACTTAGAAAAGTGAGTATAGACCTGTAAATAGTCATGCTTGTGATTTGTGAACCATTATGTATTAATATGGACTTGAATAAAACATACTGAAAAGACAGAAAAATCACAAATTTTGTAAAGGGTGGGTTGGGAAAAAGGAAATTAATACAAAATAAAAATATGACACTGCATCCTCAAATAATATAGCACAGATTACTCTCAAAATTGCCAGATTAAATAAAATATAAATTAGATACTAACCATGAAACCAGGTAGTACTGGCTGAGTAAACTTTGTCTTGAAGGAATACAGCAACTGCTTTGAGTGTGCATCATAGAAAGAAAGCTGACCTAAAAAGGAGAAGAAAAGCTTAATTTATGATATAAATAGTGACAATACAAATTTAAGTCCATCATGTAACCATGCCCCAAATTGTATTTTGGCATTAATTTTTGTTAAAAACAATAAGGACTATGCTTAACAATTCTCATGAAAATCTGACAACATGATTATCTGGAAAAATATAGTTTTCTTCCTGGTCTTCAAAACCCTCATAATAACTCCGTAATCTATTAGATTGGACAAAAATAACTGCAGTTTTTGCACTGTTGAAACTGAATTGTTCATTATGGGAATACACTGGTCACGGTTGGCTGTGATTGTCAACTTGACAAACCAAGTAAGAAGGAACCTCAACTGAGGAATGGTCTCTAACAGACTGGCCTATGGGCAAGCCTGTGAGGCATTTTCTTGATATTTTGAGTAATGTGGAAGGGCCCAATCCACTGTGGGTGGTGCCACCCCTGGACAGGTGGTCCTGGGTTGTATAAGAAAACACTGTTCAGCATAGGCCAGAGGAGCAAGCCAGTAAGCAGCATTCCTCCATGGTCTCTGCTTCAGTTCCTGCCTCCAGGGTCCTGCCTGATTTCCCTGAAAGATGGACTGTGCCTTGGAAGTGTAAGATGAAAGGAACTCTTTCCTGACCAAGCTGCTTTTGGTCAGTTTTTAATCACAACAGCAGAAAAGCAAACTAGGACAACATTCATAAATAAATGTGATCATATCATACATCACTTTAATGCACACTTCTTGCTTTTCGTTTTCTTACTAATGACTTATTACTTGATGTTTATACTTACTTTATTCTTTGGAAATGTTGGACAAAAGAAAATTCAAATCTTTCCTCATTCAATTTCAAAATGAGTAGAAAAGCACCAGCGATAACCCCCAACATCAATAACCCATCTGGCCTAAGAAATGCTAATGAGCATACAATAGTACTAAGGTGGCTCAAGAGGTTTTGCAATAAGGAAAAAAGGTTTGAAGATAAGGAGCATAGTGGTCAGCCATCAGAGGTTGACAATGACTAACTGACCCTCTTACAACTATACAAGAAGGTGCCAAGATTTCAACATGGACCATTCAATGATCTGTCTGCATTTGAAGGAAACAGGAAATGTAAAAAAGCTTGGGACGTTGGTCCCTGATGAGCCAAGAATTAAAAAAATAATTTTGAACTGTTGTCTTCTCTTATTCTATGCAACAACAACAAATGTCTTGATCTGACTGGGATACATGAGGAAGAATATACAACAACCGGGAGTGACCAGCTCAGGTGGCTGGACCAAGAAGCTCCTCCCAAAGCCAAGCCAAATATAGTGCGCGCTCTCTCTCTCTCTCTCTCTCTCTCTCTCTCTCTCTCACACACACACACACACACATATGCAGAATCGTGGTCACTGCTTGGTGGTCTGCTGCTGTTTTGAATCCCAGCAAAACCATTATATCTGAGCATGTTCAGCAAACCAATAACACTAAAAACTGCAACACCTATAGCCAGCCTTGGTCAAGAGACAGGGCCCAATTCTTCATGACAGTACTTCAAAAGTTGCAGGAGTTGAACTATGAAGTTTTGCCTCATTCACCATATTCATCTGACCGCTCTCCAATTGATGAGTACTACTTCAAGAATCTAGGCAACTCACGGCAGTAGAACATTCCCACAATCAGCAGGATGCAGAAAATGTTTTTCAACAGTTTGTTGAATCCTGAAGTACAGATTTTCTAGTACGTAATAAGCAAACTTTTTCTTATTGCCAAAAATGTAAATAACATTTTGATAATAATAAATATAATGGTTCCTATTTTGATTAATAAAACTGTGTTTCAGCCTAGTTATAACAACTTAAAATTCAGAGTCTAGAACCACAATTCCTTTTGCACCAACCTAATAACACTATTCTACTTATTCCACTGTCAACTGTTTATCATCATCAAAGGATTTTATTAGCTCAGTAAATGTCATGATCTCTGTGTTGACTCTGCTCAAATTCTATCAGCTTTGAAGCTTTACTCCATCAGACTGTCTTCTAATTAGGGCCACATTCATCTTCACCTCTGAATCCACAGGCTAGTCTCCATGGCTTCAGCTTTAATTCTCAAAATCCACTTGCAATCTGTCTTTCAACAGCACCATAATCTAATAATTGACTTCCTAACTGTCCACCTTCAAAACTGTTACCAGTTCTCAAATGCTGATGACCTTCTTGGTTTGTGTCCTAACCTGTGGACACCATTCATCTCTTTTTCTTCTACTCTAAATATAGTTGCTTTGTCCAGGTTCTCTTTTTCTCTCCACACACAGTGTTCTTTTAAAAAAACAACTGCCACCAAATAGGAAGGAGAAAAAAACCCCTAACATCATGAAGACTTTCACAGTACTAAGTACATTACATATGTCATTATTTTGTATAGATTTACCAAGGAAACATACTGAAATACAAGGCAAGTATGTCATGATGTATAAAAAAGTAAGTCCACTGACCTCCATCGAAATCACAAAATACACCTATTTTCTCAGGCACAGTAACATCCAAAGCTTTGACTTTATTATTATGCTTGGCTGCAAATGTGTTTTGTAACCAGTTGTTGACATGGATACACCAACTAGTGTTTGTCTTTCCCAACTGATCAAATTTTCCCAAAGTTTTGTATGCTACTCCCACGCTGTAGGATTTACAGTCCTTCTGGGCCTTTACTTCCCAATAATGCTGTCCACCTTCAATAGCAGTGTCACCTACAAAAATATCAGAAAAATAGATTTGATCTCATCATTCTTTTAGGAGTCACAGAGATTTTTACCTATCATTTATTCCACAAAGAACATCAACATTGTAATCTTCCTCCAATTTTGAGACAGAATCTCATTATGCAGCCCAGCTGGGCCTCAAGGTGACTCATGATCCTCCTCCCTCAGCTTCCTAAGTGCTGGGATTACATGCATGTGTCACCATGTCCAGCTAATTCAATTACTCTTTCTGTGAAAATAATCATGTTAACACAGAAATGCTAAATGCAGAGTTCTTGATATAAATTTAATACATATACTTATTTTTCTATGAATATGAAGTATTTCAAAGCTTTTCCTCATTACCATCCCCCCTTCAATGGTAATAGATACATGAGGCATTACTATTTGAGTTGAAGTAACGATTTAAAAGTATCCGTAATAAGTCAACTTGAAAAACCCAAAGAAGGTAGGCTTTGGTATAGAAACTTCTTCAGAGACTCATTCACTATACACTCAGACACGCTGGAACAAAGTGAGAACATTCACTAGTATGACTGTGCTGCCTTTATTCTGACATGAAGCACTGTTATGCTTTAGCCTACCCAGCACTGTGTATGATTCCCCAGTAAAACGGTCTCTGCTGCCTCTTACTGCTGGTGGCCTGGAGCCTGTAGATGTCCGTTTGGGGGAAGGTGTACCACTTCTAAAAAAATAAGAACAAGAAGAAAAATGTATTATATTGAAAATATTTCATAAACTGGAATTAAAGATCATAGGAGGAAATTTCTGAAAAGATTCCTAATTATGTTGCACCATTTCATTTGATCTGAATTACTATTTAAGAAAGTTATCAATTATAAACACAAGGAAGAAGCCATCAGTACAAAGCAGGCTGAACACACTAATGACATGCAGACTGAGGAAGGCTTATAAAACACATATTTGAAATAAGAAACGATACCAAAATGAGACAAGACTCACTGGTGGAAAAACAATTAAGAAAGACATTTAGAGCCAGGCGTGGTGGCACATGCCTTTAGTCCCAGCCCTCAGGAGGCAGAGGCAGGGGGATTTCTGTGAGTTCAAGGTCAGCCTGATCTACACAGTAAGTTCCAGGCCAGCTGGGGGCTACAGGGAGACCCTATCTCAAAAAAAAAAAAAAAAAAAAAAAAAAAAAAAAAAAAGAAAGAAAGAAAAAGAAAGGCATTTAGTTATAGCTTGAAAATATTTTCGCTATTAAATTTAAATAAAAGCAAAGGCAAAATTAGGCTTCTTATAATTATAAGCAACTATTTTACTAGCTGTATTTTTGTTCTTGACCTTTCTTTTAAAAACTGTCCAAATTATATACAGGAAATATCAAGTATCATAAAGTATGTCTACTATTAAAATGGACAAAGTCCAATACTCCTCAAGGTATTGAAGCAGGGTCTCCCTGTAGCCCCAGCTGTCCTGGAACTCACTATGTAGACCAGGCTGGCCTTGAACTCACAGAGATTTGTCTTTCTCTGCCTCCCAAGTGCTGGGACTACAGGTGTGCGCCACCATTCAACTGGGGAATATAAATATTTAATGTCATTTCATATGATTCAATGAATAACTTCATTCTGGATTATTTAAATGTCATCTTGCTATCAACAGATTTATGAGTTGTTTCAAATAATTAAACTAAACCTGACTATTTCACCTGTCTCCTTTCTAGTGAATGCTATTAAGTAGCACAATTGCATCTCTACAACTATAGTATTTACGAAGTTTAGTTTAATCCTTCCTGTGCTGCATAGCTTTAGTTGTCAACTTGACACACCTGGGTTGAGGGAGCCTCAACTGGGGAATTGCTTCCATTGGACTGGCCTGTGGCCATATCTGTGGGGGCATTTTCTTGATTGTTGAGCGATGTGGAAGGGCCCAGCCCACAGTGGGTTGTGCCACCCCTGGGGCAGGTTGTCCTGTATTGTATAAAAAAGGAGGTTGAGCACAGGCTAGGGAAGCAAGCCAATAAGCAGTGTTCCTCCATGGCCTGTGCTTCAGCTCCTGCCTCCAGGTTTCTGCCCTGAGTTCCTACCTTGGAACAGGTGATGAACTATGAACTGGGAGATGTAAGCCAAAACCCCCTTTCCTTCCCAAGCTGGTATTGGTCAGAGTGTTTTGTCACAGTAACTGAAAGCAAAGAAGAACACTTCCCAAAGGATATGAAAGGTTCTGTTTTGTAAATTATCATGTTTTATCTGAATAGAACATAAACAGATGAGTAAGGATGGGCAAATGAAAATTTCTGTGAAACTTGTGCTCAGGTAGCAGTTATTGACTTCTTTGTATTGGGTACTGCAAGAACTAAAGGAAAAGAAAATCTAAAAAATGTTTTTGACAGGTCCTCCAAAATAGAGGACAGAAATGATTAAAAATCCTGGGTGTGGTAGTATATACCAGTAACCTTAGCACTCAGGAGGCTGAGGCTGGAGGATTGCAAATTTGATGCTAGTCTAGGCCACCTAGCAAATTCAAGGTTAGTCTGAGCTATACAGGGAGACCTTGTTTTAAAAGGCTGGGGGGAAAAGTGAAAATAAAGAAGCATTTATAATCATTATTCTGAACAAATGTAGTTTTTAATTTCATCAAAATTTTTTGGCTTGAGCAAGTTTCTAAGCTGGCACTTATATAACACTCTTATAAGTCATTAAATAGGTGGGGCATTGGTGGCACATGCCTTTAATCCCAGCACTCAGGAGACAGAGCCAGGTGGATCTCTGTGAATTCAGGGCCAGAGTTCCAAGCCAGCCAAGGTTTATCTATCTATCTATCTATCTATCTATCTATCTATCTATCTATCTATCTACCATCCATCATCTATCTATCTAATCTATGGTGAGATCCTGTATCAAAACAAAAGTCCAAAACCGCCCCCCAACCCAAAAAGAAAGAAAAAAAAGGTCACTAAGTTGTAAGAAGGTGAAATTTGTAAACATTCTGTCCAATTAGTGACAACTCAAAAAAGAAAACAAAAATCCCACACCAAAATTTTGTCTTTGATTTCTGAAAGTGAAAAAAATAGTAAATATAATTTGATTTTCATTGTCCTGTGGTGGGGAGGGCAAGGTGTCTTGAAGCTGGGGATTTTCAAGCTATTTCCTGAATGCAAGGGAACCCAAAAGTGCCACAGGTGCTGCAGCAGGGACCCCAGGAAGAAGCTAATTCCAGTGCTCCTTTCTATTTTAACCAGCTACTCTTTTCTCCTTTTAGATTAGCCTTCTGGGAATACTGCCTTTGAAGAAATCATTACATAATTTAAATATGTGAAAAGCAGTTTTAGATGCAATATTAGGAAGGCTTGAAAAGAAACAGTTAAAAATATAGGCCTAATGTAGCTTACAAATTATAACAAAAAGTTTTAAATCTCTAAAACACCTAGACAAGACTTTAGTATGATTTTCAAATATTCTTCAAACATTCATTTAAAACATCTGAAATGAACCTCTCTACTAGAAAGGACATTCAGGATGGCTCACCAAAGATTACCTAATACATAGCAAAATATTACTATCCATTAATCTTCCTTACCCCAAGTTAATTCAATTTCATATATTGATATTTATATAAAAATAAATATAGCTTTAATTAATCTTAAATGTATTTGTAGAAATTAGTTTTGTAGGCTGGGCATGGTAGTGCATGCCTTTAATCTCAGCACTCTGTGAGATAAAGGCCAGCCTGTTCTATATAGCATGCTCCAGGACAGCTGAGGATACAGGAAACCCTGTCTCAGAAAGACCTTCACTCCCCTCCTCCACAAAAACCCCAAACCAAACCAAAACAAAAAAAAAAACAACAGGAAAAAAATTAGCTGGTTTGGAAGAGAAGTGAAGGAAATGAAAGACAAAACTGGAACCTCAGCTCCTCAGTGTGTCTAGCTGCCTTCGTCACAGTGCTCTCTAGGAAGGCTAGCATAATGCTTAACAGTCATGACTGTTTGCTTCTCTTCTTTGCTGAGAGATGGAGCGAAGAAAAGAAAGATGTTCTGTGGGTAACCAGCATTGATCAAATGAAAGGAGATGAGAAGTTACAGTAAATGTGTCATGAAGAGTGGGGAAGAGGGGCTGGAGAGATGGCTCAGTAGTTAAGAACACTGATTGCTCCTGCAGAGGACCTGGGGTCGGTTCCCAGTACCCACATGGCAGCTGACAACCATCTATAACTCCAGTTCTAGAGGATCCAGTTTCCTCTTCTGACTTCTGGGGGCACTGCATGACATGAGTACACTTACATACATGTAGGCAATACACTCGTAGACATAAAATAAAAATAAAATACTTTTTAAAAAAGAGGAAGAATGAAAAGCACTAACGGCAGGATTCTAAAATGTTAGCACATAGTAAAATCACTGGGCGCCTTTTTTGTTTTCTGGTGCTAGCGATGGAATTAGGACTCGCATGTGGTAGGGAAGCACTCTGCTGGAGTACATACCCCACTGGAGGAACTCTTAAAAGTACATGTTATCATAGTTGCACAGCAGAGTTAAGAGCCACTGAAGAAGTAAATAAATAAGTGTCTCTTCTAACAAAGGCAGGGATTAAACGGTGATGATGAAAAGATAATTCTTAGACAATCTAGCATGAGGTGCCCTCAATTCACCTTGCTATGGTTAAGTCTGTGAAGTAGCTGAAGGGGCCACATCTCAAAGTTGTGTCTTTAGTACACAAGAGATGTGCAACACCTTCACTAAAATGTGGCACTATTAATGAAGGGTCATCTGTATTTTTCCTGATCCATGTTGCTGGAGAACCCAACTGTCTGCTGGCAGGAAATACAACACTTTGAAAACCATTTTCCAGGTACTTAGGAGCAGTGGATGAGAGTTATACAGTAAAAATAGAAAAGACTGGCTTATCACAGCTTCAACATACATTACAAGCTCATCTAAAAACCAGAGAAACAAAATTTTTAAGAAAACAAGTTGTAACTTACCAGTAGTAAAGAAATAAAAGGAAGCATGGCAGGGAAAAAAAGAAAAAACAGATTTAACTACTGAGAATCAGAGTTTAGCATCAGAGGAAGGTTTAATAAGGAAAGCTCTTCCAGCTCTTAAGTAGATTTTTATGGCAGTACAAAAGTCATAATGTTATGTACATCACGATCCCCTCCTACTCTCCTTGAAGATGCCTTGGCTACTTAACTGAGTTCAGACTCTTTGCTACCTCTAGACTAAATTATTTTACCTGCTTTCCGCCCTATCCAGCTTGTTTACTATTACAAGATGAACAGAGTTGATTCCCCTACTTTAAAATTGCCATTGTTTTTTCATATTTATAAATAACTTAGTTTGAAAGTTCATGATATGGTCCCAATCTGTCTTCCTAGTCTTTTTGCCCTAGGAGAGCACACTACAAGTAAATGTACCAGCCAAAGTATGCTTTAATTTTTAATTTACATTCGTTTACTGTTTTTTCCTTGCTTGTCCTCATTACAAGAAGAAATAGCACACATTCTCTCATTTCTTGAAGACTCATTCTAAATACCACTCCCTAAATGAAGGTCTTCCAGATCCTACCATTCTAAATTCTATAGACTCTAGGTCCTGGCCAAAATCCCATGTCACACCCACCCATGGACAACTACAAAGATTTTACCTGGCAGGCCTAGTGGTAGATTGAGAGAGCCTTCCTATCAGGGAGTAGGGTGGGCTCCTCTGTTCACTCACACCATATTGAGCACACCTAGTTCCACTACAGTTTCTAGAGTTTTATCCCCTACCCCATCCACGCACATAGACTTGTCTACATTCCTGGCCTAGTCAGCTTTATTCATAGACTACTTATAGGAGAGAAGCCCCATGCAGAGACACTTTTTCATAGCATGTGTGTGTGTGTGTGTGTGTGTGTGTGTGTGTGTGAGAGAGAGAGAGAGAGAGAGAGAGAGAGAGAGAGAGAGAGAGGGGGGTGGCACAGGAGAGACAGACAGTCAGAAACAGTTTACTTCACTATCTTAGAACTTTTCTACTTTTAACTCTTTTTTATTTTTGACGCTTCAATTAATAAACCAAGATGAGCATTTTGTTTGGGATTTCCAGGCAGTGGGAACATCCTCTACTTGTGATCTATGCTACCTCACCTGATCTCCACCCTTGCCATTCAACTGGGGAAAATGAATACCAGGTGAGTGAGCCCCCTTTCTTTGGTGACCTCTTGCTTCTCACTGTAAAGTCAGTAAAGACTTGCCTGTTTGGCACACTATTCTAACCAAACACCTCAACATCTGGCAGCTCTGAACATCTTCCTTCCTCTGAACTCCTTTATTCCCATTGACAACACATAATGTCTACCTTTTGCCACTGTTACATGTGCATATTTATATCATCTTTATGAGTCAGAGCAAGTTGTCTAAAAGCAAGGACTGTGTTTTAAAACCCCATAATATCCGTTTTCTACAGAAAACAAACATTATGTATAATAAATGTATATAGGTTGAGTAGCCCTAATCCAGAAATCTGAAATATCCAACATTGGAAACCTTGAGCACTGACATGATGCCAAAAGTAGAAATTTCCATACCTAGCTTCATGTAACAAGTCACAATCGGCGTACAGTACACTAAACACATGTACAGAATTACCTTCAGGGTATGAATATAAGGTGTATAAAACACAAATCAATTTTGAGTTTAAGCTTGGATCTCAACCTCAAGATTTCTCATACATAGAGAGACAACTATTTCAAAATCCAAAGTATTTTTGAGTCCTAAGCACTTTGGATAAGGGATAATCAACTTGTATAACCTTTCTGAAATGGCCTACAGATAAAATACCCTTAAAAGGAAAGGAGAAAGAACCTGAAATACCAAGTACAAGCAATCCTCAATTTTCTAAGTAACCAAATGAAACATTATGGACTTATCAAATCGCAACACAAATACAACCACTTTTACCAATAATGTGTAAATAAGCCAAAAAGATGAAAAGAAATAACTTCAAAAGAGTATGTATCTTGGTTTCTGTTAAGACACATGGTATTTTCTTTTTTAAAATTTTATTTATTATTTTTTATTTTATGTGTATGAGTGTATTGCCTGCATGTATGTTAAGAGCACTTGTATTGTGCAGTGCCCGCGGAGGACAGAAGAGGCTGTTGGATCCCATGGAACTGGAGTTACGGACAATTGTTAGCTGCCATGTAGGTGCTGGGACTCAAACCCAGGTCTTCTGCAAGAACAAACAGTGTTCTTAACCACTGAGCCATCTCTCCAGCCCAGTATTTAGTATTTTCAAATAAGCATATTATGACTCATGCAATTTGAAAAGATCCACCTTTCTGGCACTATCCTGATCATTTTATCAATTACTTTATTGCTTTAACCTAGATGCTTTGAAATTATACGATTATCATTAATACATAACAGTTTGAATTTGCCTCATGTCAAATACAAATAAAAGCAATCAATAATGTTAGATATATTGGATACAGTACAACAAGAAAGATGCCAAAAGTAAGTAAAAGCAGGGAAAAATCAGGCTGCGGAAATAATTCTAGAAAGTCTTTTTAAAGCAGAGCATATTTTGTTATCATACAGTATAACTCAAACAATGCAGTACACTATAATGCTATAATTTTAAACACAAGCTATAAATACAGTCTACACAAAGCAATATTTTAGCTTATGAAGGCTGCTGCAATGACGTCTGCTTATTGGTTAAAAGAAATTATTCAGCCAAGCTAGATGCTAAGTCCTAGAACTAGACAGACACAGATCATCACCTTGTATGTTTCCTCAGTGAAGCAACATGGACACTGTCAGATAAAAACAGGCAACTGTTAAGAAACTGCTTCACAACGTCTATTTACCATCTTAAAATAAAATCGACCAAATGCTTGCTGAGGAGATTTCTGACTGACTGTTGTAACTCACAAAGACATTTACCATCAGTTTGAGCAAAAATTTACTGCTTGTCTCCCATATTTTGACATTATCTAGATAAGTTATGACAATAACAAATGGTCCTCAGGCCTGCTTCTTAGAGTTACTGAATTGCTCTTCAGCAGCAAGATTTGGGGCTGAAATGCTAAATGTTGCCATTTGGTGCAGCCCTCCTTTAGGTAAGCTAGATGATCTGTAAATCTTATGTTTAGAATCCACGCATGAGCTTTTCTCTAACCAGTTCAGATTGCTGTCTCTGTAAATACAGAATTAAAAAACAGAATGCTGAAAATAAAAATATTAAAAATTATGAAAGAAACTAAGAAAAAGTAATGAAAAGTGTCAATGACAAATTCAAACATTGATAAATGATATTATAGTCTTTACCTTGAAGTTACTAACATCACAAATCATACTGGTATGTAGGATAAAAATTAAAACTATGAGTTATTGTCAAATAAGAATCCACATACAAGCACTTGTCCACATATAAAATAAGAATTTCAATAGAAGTTATGGTCAGAGACACCCAATATACAAACATCTGTCCATATACAGATTTAATGAATGAACTTACCTGCCTTTGTTTTCTTTTCCTTTAATTTTACTTTCTTGCCCTTTTCCTCCAGTGGGATCCCACTCTACACAGGTATCTTCAACTTTCAGGTTCAAATGGGATGATGAGTTATCTAAACTGAAGTTAAGTGCTGTCCAAGACAATGTTTTTTTGTTAAAAAATGTAATACATCTCATTTTTCTGAAACACACCTGTCAGTATATTATTTTCTTAATCAACTGATGCAATACTGTGTGCAGAGAACAAAGTCCAAAATCCTAACCCTAGCATGTAAAACTCTCAATGATTAGGCTGTAATTCATAATTCCCACCTATGTTGAGTAATTTTTCTCTGCACATCTTATACGATAACCAGATACAGTGCATCTGCACAGCCCCTCATATTTCTGCCATTTCTTCTACTGGACTCTCATTAGCACATGGTAATCCTAATTTAATGTTATTAAAATTATCAGTGGGTTCTCAGCTGATCATTTTGTCTAAGCAGGAAGAGAAACTGGTAGAATTATGGAGGAAGAAAAAGCAACACAATATAGAAAGTTATGTTGCAAAAATGCAGCACACACATTTTCTCTGATGCTTCAATACTTAATTTCACACTTAAACTCTCATTAGTTCCGCACTGAAATGCGCATGAGTAAACTGGAGCCCCAGTGACATCAGTAAAGGAGCTGACTCAGCAGATGAATCTCTTGATGGAGTACAAAGGAAAGAGGCCACTTAATGAAAACAAAACAAGTAAAAACCAAAACTATGCTTTTCAGATTATTTGATGTTTTGGAGAACTGTCTATAGTACTCAAAATGCTTAGAAGTGCTAATTTAGGAAATCAATGTAAGAAGATACTAGTTTCCCTTTTTAGGAACTAAGAAAAAATCATTAAAATGAGTTGATTCAACAGCAATGCAGTTTCTTCTATTTTGTAATGTGATTCCCAGACTACCGTACAAGGCATCATTTATTACATAGTTACAAATTAATCTGCTCCTGTTAGCTACATTTCCCTCTAAAAGTTCAAATTCTGGGTAATTATGGATTAAATAAATATTCCCTAAAAATTTTTAAAAAGGAAATGTTCCTGTATAATATGCCATTTCATTGAAGGATATCAGTTGAAATTAGCTAAGGCTTTAGTGTGTTGGTGAAATATGCAGCACCACATGACAAAATAAGCATATAGCACCTAGTGAAGGAAGCATTCTTTTATCCTTAATTCTGTAAAGACCACTTCAATTTCAACATGCACCAGAGCCTCTGTTCATTGTCTTTATTTATAAAACATCTGGATGAAAATATACCAACCACACAGCTCTACTAAACGTCACAGTATACGAGTAAGTCACTCACTTTCAAAAGCTGCATTTCAGCAGAAGTAAACTTAGAGGAAAAGTAAATCAGCTTTTCAGTAAAATGGAAATAGAATTCCTTAATAGGCAGATCACCAAAAGATACTACATTTCCAAAAGGAACTGTTTTAAGAAAACATAATTACCCTCTACACTGTAGATATTAGCTTATGCATTATAAGGGCATCCACATTTTTGAAAGAAAGAAAAATTGGCTTTAACAGAGTGCCATCAACTGTCAATAGCTTACTAAATAAAGCACCAAGGTCAAATGAAGGAGAGAAGGAACCCTAAGGCTGTTCCCTTATGTTTGTTCTGACAGAGCGAAGAGCCACCAGCCACCTGAAGTCAAGGACGGCAGGAAGAGGTCCTGTTTCAAAAGCACCTGTGACCATACATCAAATACCACAACACCCCAACAGTTTTAATCTCCCTCTTTTTCTATGGACACACCCTTTATTAGACCCCTGTTAAGTCCTAGACCTTCATTAAGGTAACAGGGATAATAATCTAAAGGCAAAAAAGGAGAAGAGAGAGAGAGAGAGAGAGAGAGAGAGAGAGAGAGATATCACTGCCTTGAAAGTAAGATCCTGTCTCATACTGTAAAACTGAACCACAGCCACTACTTGAAAGTTGGGAAGTAGTTTTATTTCTTATTAATACCGTATCATTTATCTTTATAAGAAAGCAAAGGATGATATACCTTTAAAACTTTGGGAATAAGAACTTAAATTACTCATGACTTTTACAATCTTCGTGCCAGAAGAAATAACACTACATACACTGAAGGGACAGAAATGGCAATGCTTACTCCATTAAATTTCCATAGGCCTGAACTATTTACTTTCCATCTTGTCTTCCTGCCATTTTTTGTTCTGATGGACTGATTTGTAGTGGTTAGTCACAAAAGCTGAGGCAAACAAAACAAACTAGTAAACAATGTTCAATGTATCACATAAGGAATTTGATTTAGGACTCCCTGAAGATTAGAATCACTGCGCCTGGGCCTTTGGGTTGTGTTTCAATCTAGTCTCACCTCAGGAGGTTTACTTAACTGTGAAAAACACCGCAAGAGATTAGAATCATCTCAATCTTTTTTAACCCCAAGATGAGTCTGCTTAGTGGGATCCAGATATTACTATCAGGAGCAGGTCTCAAACTCCAAAGGAAACCCTATGGCAGCAATTCCTTTTCCAAATTAACTTGCATAAAATCCACAGTTCATCATATTTAGGTCCAAGTTTGGTCACTAGCTATAAAGAGACAATGAAAAGTAATAACAAAAAAGCTATGATGCTCCTTAGGGTAAGTAATTATAGCAATGCAATCTTCTCTAATAAGGGCTAAAAGCAGTTCAAGCCATAGAAAAGATTATCTGCCTTGAAACTGGACAAGGCATCAAAGACTTTGAAAAAACAGCAACATCTTAGTTTGATAATAAGGAATTAAAAGTAATTACATTCCTTAGATAAGCTATGTATAATTCTCAAGTAAAAATATTTGCAAATTTAAATTTCAAGTCAGAATTTTTCTAGACCTTTTTGGTACAGAAATATTATTCTAAGTTTGTCTCATCAGTAATCTGCAGGCCTTGAGGGCTAAAGCATTTGCCTACCATGCAAAGGCCCTGGGTTCAAGCTCTGGCACTTAGTTTTCTCAGATTTAAGTTTATATTCTCATCTAAACCACATCCAATTTCTAGCATGCATATCTACTCAAATACTATTACACATACACTACAAGTTAGTGAAATTCTCCAAGTCTCAAGTGCTTAGTACAATGCATAGAGTCTAATTTGGGAAGTAATAACTCATAATTGATAACTAAGTAATCTCAAGTATCACCTCAATGGGAAGATCTCTACATTATGGCCTGCAAACTGGTAAATATCTAAAAATTCACACATACATACACACACACACACACACTCAAATATGCAGTGCAAACATTAAAAAGTAAAGAAATTGAAATTTGAAAGTAATTTCAAAAAAATTTATCAACTCAGTCTATTTTACTTACGTGAGATAATTATACTGGGAAATCTAGTGAAAAGTCTACTATAGTCCTATTATCTAGTGAAAAGTCTACTATAGTCCTATTTTCCTCCACTGGGAAAGCCAGAGGTAGGTGGTGGAGGAGGTGGGGAAGGAAATCAACCACACAAGAAATGCCTTTGACAAAGTCTTAAAAAGCTTCTGAAGCTAAGTCCTGGCTGATGCTGCAGACATCTGCTCTTACCTTTGGTCTCTAGGGTCACTGGATCAGAGTAGTCTCCAGCCACAGCCTTGTTACAAGCTCGCACTCTGAAATTCATATACTTTGAATCAAATTTTAAGCCTGAAAAAATAAAGTGGTATTTTTAGACATAAAAAAATTTTAGACATAAAAAAGGGATTGCTTCCCAAAAGTATGAGCGTGCATCTTCAAACATATTTTTTCTTCTTAGAAATATCTTTGAGAAAAGGATAAATTTGGATTAAACAGGTGATACTGCCTGAAATAAGAATCATGACTTATGTAGTAATTTCTTCAAAATAAATAAATTACACAAATATCAACATGTTCAACCCAGTAATTAATAAAGAGATATCCTTTCAGTTCTCATTAGAAGTCATATTTTGGGGTCTGGAGAAATGGTTCAGCAGTTAAGAGCACTGCCTATTCTTGCAGAGGACCTGGGTTCAGTTCCCAATACCCACATGGTTGTTAAAAACCGCCTGTAACTCCAGTTTCAGGGGAATCCAATGCCTTCTTCTGACTTCTGTGGCACTGCATGACATGGGTGCACTTACATACATGCAGGCAATATACTCATAAACATAAAATGAAAATAATAAATTATATTTAAAAAGTCATATTTTGCCTGGTGTGGTGACATACACCTGCAATACCAGCACTTGAAAAAGGCTAGTTCGAGGTTAGCCAGGACTACAAAGCAAAATCCTGTCTCTAAAATCAAGCAAAAATCCCACAACAAACCAAAAACAATAAAAAAGTAGTATTTAATTTAAGGAAAGATGTCAGCTTATAGTAATGTATAAATCAATTTTTGGAAAGTAGATACCACTAAAGAATTTTAATATTTATGAAACATCCTATTTTTACATGAAAATAAATTTAAACAGGAACTAAAGTTCAGAGATTAATAAGACTTATGAAGTTAGACCTATATTAAAGTTGGAGTCCAAAAAGACTACCTTCCCAATGAGCCCAATCACAACCTAACCGAGCCTGTTTTCAATCTATAAAATAAAAATTAAAAAAGCATTTTCCTAACCCATGTATGATTGAGACGTAATATTCTGATTAAATGAGGTGAATGATACAGTGCAAGTGTTATATAATGCCAGTTTCTGACAAGCAGTTAAGTACTCAATAATAATAGCTCCTACTGTTCCTACCGTGCATAATACACACTGAAAATCTCAGGCAATATTTAGTTTATTTCAAACATCAAAAGTACTCATTATACTTAGACATCTTTTTAAAGCTTTTAAAAGGCCAAAACAAAAATTACTTAGACTACAATTGGATGTGGTGGTGCACACCTTTAATCCCATCACTCAGGAGGCAGAGGCAGGCAGATCTCTTTGAGTTCAAGGGCAGCCTGATCTACACATTGAGTTCTAGGTCAACTGGGGCCACAGGGAGACCCTGTCTCAAACACCTTCCCCAACAACAACAACAAAAAAAGAATTTTTTAGACTGAATTATAATTCTGTGTTAAGTAGTAACATGAAGGTAACACTAAAACAGTGAAAACAACAGTATTAACAGGACCAGTGAAATATCAAGTGTGACCTGAAAAATAAAGTGCTTTTTTACTTAGTTAAAAAAACAATATAAAAATTAAAGGTCACTTCGGGAGGCAGAGGCAAGGTGGATCTCTGTGAGTTCAAGGCCAGCCTGGTCTACATAGTGAGTTCCAGGACAGCTGGGGCTACAGGGAAACCCTGTCTCAAAAA